TGACGTCGAAAAAATCTAGCGCGGACTTGGCGCCTTGGACCCAGGAGGCCCAGTCTTGCGGGCGGGCTGTGTCGAAGGGCGGAAGCAGCCCTAGCCCCGGAGCGGTCGCCTAAAAAATCTAGCGCGGACTTGGCGCCTTGGACCCAGGAGGCCCAGTCTTGCGGGCGGGCTGTGTCGAAGGGCGGAAGCAGCCCTAGCCCCGGAGCGGTCGCCATCGGGCGCATCGGAGGGGTTGCGGGAGAAGCGGTCTCGCTGCTGGATGGATTGCTCATCGGATCGGCTGCTTCGCGTTCTCCTGGTCCCTCGCAACGGCCCGGCTCAGATGCGGCTGGATCCCACCTTTGTCGCCACTGTTATGTAGTGGGTAGCCGCATGGGTGGACGACAGACAACGACGTAGTGCATAGCATGCTTTATTAGGCACACAACAAGACATGCGGACAAACGGCCGGCAGGCCAACTATATACACACCTGGGGACGCCCCCCTGGTCACCATTGGTGGGTTTGAATCCCCCGCCATGGCTCCCATTGGTTCCCCTGTGGAGGGACTAGAATCCTAGTCCCCATTGTCTTCCAGGACTGAAGCTCAGGTATGTGCGCTGACCTCCGGTGGCGATCAGTGGACACAACACAAACCAGTGATTGGAGTCCTCTAACTGGCTGCAAAATCTGAGAAACCAGTCCCTTCCCTGGCTTAGGGTTGCAAGAAAACTGGGGGTAGCTTTTTTTCAATGGCATGATGTAACTTCTGGGAAAACCTTGGAAGTGACATCACACCTCCCTAGGAATTGATGGAAGCTCTTGTAAACCCATAGAGTTTCTGGTGATTCCTTGAGAGAACTGATGTTACATCCAGGTTTTCGTAGAAACTGATGACACACCATCAGCTAAACGAACAAAGTTGAAGTCCAGTGACACCTTTAAGACCAACAAAGTTTTATTCAGTATAAGCTTTCGTGTGCAAGCACATGAATCAGACCCATCAAGGTCAGTTTAGTCTACTCAGGCTACCCCGGTCACACAGGCCAAATATCGCGGGGGGGGTGGAGGCGTGGCTAATTGCCCCGGTGCAGTTTGATGCACGATTACGTGATCAGACGTGCTGGCAGCACACCATGGGTCCTTCCTTTGGCGCCGGCGGGTAAACAAGGGACCGGAGGGGAATGCTGCATGCCAGCGCGTTCACACCATGTGCATCTGGAGGCAGCCCGTGGCAAGCGTTTACTAGTACCTTGGAGGTACAAGTTTTTTAAGGCGCATTGTCGGCGGTAAGCCACGGGTGCACTCCACTTCCCAGATGTTGGGGTGTGATCGTGCCCGGATAATCCACCCACCATCCGTGCCTCTCCCACAACAACTTTGCTGTGCGACCGGGGCCTCAGACTGGCAGTGGTTCTCCAGGGTCTCGGGTGGAGGTCTTTCACATCACCTACCAACTGATCCTTGTAACTGGAGATGTTGGGGATTAAACCTGGGGCCTTTTGCATGCCAAGCAGACACACTGCTAATGAGCCACAGCCCTGCCCCACTAGCACTCCTTCATCAGCCTGCTGTGTGGGGCAAGATGAAGAGTACCAGCTCTCCCTACCTAGAGGAAAGATAATGAGGTGGCCATGAGAGAAGTCATCATTGCTGCCACCCTCACCAAGTGAAGCTACGTAGCAGATGGGGGCGAAAGAAGAGTCACCCCCCCTGCTACATGGGGGAGGAAAGGGAAGAAGGTGCCACTCACCCCCCAGGAGGAGGATAATGGTGAGGCAGCCATGCTGCTGCTAACCCCCCCACTGCAAAGCTCAGGCAGACATGATGGTGATGATGGGGAACAGGACCTACCAAGGTGGTAGAGCAGCAGTCAGGAGTGAGATCAGGAACTTCTGCTGCCACCAACTCACTGGCAAGCATGGGAGGGGAGAAGGATGGATGGGTGAGCAGCGGAACGAGTAGGACTAATGCCACTGCCCCCCCCCAGCTGTCATGTAAGCTGTGGAAGAGTGGTAATGTGGCCAAGGAGGAAGGAACTGCTAACACACCACCACCACCACTGGGAGCTGCTGAGTGGGTGAACCAATGGGCTGGCTGTCAGGGTAAGAGAGGGGGCAGCAGGGGTGGCAGCGTTGCTGGAGAGCGAACTACCCTGGGGAGTAGCTTGCTCAGTAGGCAAGCAGGGGGAAGGATGGGATTCCTCCACCATGCGAGTCTCACGGGTCCCCACTTGTGGATTCAGTTTTAATCTCAGGCCACAATTTGCTGGAACAGTAAGAATAAAATGACCCTCTTTCCCATGAGAAAATTGTTTTTTGTCCTCACTGTAAAATACCTGCTAGCATTCCCCCAGACATTCCAAATATATGACTGAAGTCTAAATTTAGTTTTAAATAACTGGGAACTTAATAAACTTGGTCCTAGACTACACTGGACAAGTAGTAAATACTCAGAAGGAAACCTTTTTTCCCCTTTCAGGAGCCCTTCTATTATGGGAATATTTGCTGCAGACAGAGAGTTTTTGGGAGCAATTGGGGTACTGGATGGTGGAATGAATATATATGGAGGAGAAAATGTGGAGCTGGGCATCAGGGTAAGATATTTATTTTCTTTTTCTTCCAAGTCAACATAGTACATGATTTATTGCTTATAAGGGAAAATACAGAATTGGCTGGAAAGTACTCTGAAACACTCTGGTTCAGAGCATCATATTCCAATGTGGACATGGAACTCTATTTTCAGATAGGATGTCACATTAGTTTCAGTGGAGGCCAGAGACACAAGGGAGATGACCATGGTACGTAATAAAAGAACCCCCTGACTGGTATGGCATTCAGTGTTTCATCTTGTCAGCTGCAGTTGATCCTGGAGGTTGCTCCAGAGGTGGTGGTGGGGCATTTCCAAAAAGGCCCTTTACCTGGTTGCTACCCTCCAAGCCTCTCGAGAGTTGGCACTCAGAGGAAGGCCCCAGAGATTGGGGCTGGGAGAGGTGATCCAACAGTTATTGTGCTCCCAAGTGACATAGAGCTTTATAGGTTAGGACCAGTACCTTGAATTGGGTCTGGAAACATCCAGGCAGCCAATGCAGGTGGGCCACAACAGGTCTAATATGTTCGGACTTCCAGGTCCCAGTTATTAATCTAGCTGTCGCATTCTGCACCAGCTGCAGCTTTTGAACCATCTTCAAGGGCAGCCCCACGTAGAGTGTGTTGCAGTAATCTAGTCTGGAGACTACCAGTGCATAAATTACTGAAGCCAGGCTATCTCTGTCCAGATAGGGGTGTAACTGGGTCACCAGTAGAAGCTGGTGGAAAGCACTCCGAGCCACCTGAGCCTCAGGTGACAGAGATGGATCAAGGAGCACCCCCAAGCTGTGAACCTGCTTCTTCAGGGGGAGTATGACCCATTCAGAACAGGTTGTACACCTCCCCATCCACTCAAAGAAATCACCCATCAACAACATCTTAGTCTTATGGTGTACACAATGGCAAAGGTTGAAGGATTAAAAACAAATGATCTGCAGATCAGACAACATATAACATCAACATGAGCTCCCCTGTCTCGTTCCCGGCATACAGGGCCACCAAGGCTGTGTCTGTGCCAAAACCAGGCCTGAACTCTGATTGAAATGGATCCAGATAATCAGTTCATCCAAGATTGCCTGGAGCTGGTTGGCAACCACCCTCTTCACACCTTTCCCAGGAAAGGAATCTTTGCTACTGGCCTACAGTTTGAATTTTCTGGGTCCAGGGACGGTTCCTTCAGAAGTGGTCTCACCACTGCCTCTTTAAGGCAGGATGGGACCACTCCCTCTTGTAAAGAGGCACTGATGACCTCCCTGGCCCAGCCGATTATCCCTCCCTCGCTGGCTGTTTTATAAGCCGGGAGGGACAAGGATCCAGTACAGAGGTGATTGCACAAACCTATCCAAGCACCGTGTCCATTTCCTTGAGTACCAACTGAAACACATCCAATAAAACATTTAAACTTCTGTTTTATGCATGGATCTTGTTTGCATCCTTTATTGCCTACATTGTTTGTTTATAGCATCACTGTGCCTTGCTATAGAGCAGGGGTGGCCTAACTGCAGCTCAGAAGCCGCATGCGGCTCTTTCATACAGTCTAATTTAAAGTTAATAAAAAGCAAATGTGCATATTTCCCAATAAAATCGTGTGTGTAATATTTGTTCACTAGGAAAAAGGCCCATTGTGGAAATAAATACAACGGCCTCTAGAAAGAGGCTCTGGGCGGGTGCCCCAGCCTTGGACACTCAGTTTCAATTTGCTGTGGTGACCTCAGCAGGGTATAATAACGCTGAGTCCATCATTTTCTCCAGAGGAACTGATCTCTGCTACCTAAAGAACAGTTGTAATTTTGAGCGATCTCCAGCCCTCACCTGGAGATTGGCAACGATGGTTCCCTAGAAGGGAATGGTTGGTTTGGAGGGTGGAGTCTATGACTTTGTACCTGTCTGAGGTCCCACGCCTCCTGAAACCTCACCCTCTCCAGGCTCCATCCCTCACATCTCCAGGAATTTCCCACCTGGAGTTAGCAACCCTATCTCCTTCCCAGCCAATCATCAACCTACCTTTATTTCCCCCTCACTCTTCAGCTTTCCACCCCCCACACACCTGCAGCCTCTCCCGTGCTCTGAAGCCCTGACTGCTACGTCACATTGGCTGTCATACGGGGGCCACCTCAGCAGCATATAAGGATACAGAGCCCACCATTTTCTCCAGGGGAACTGATCTCTGCCATCTAGAAAGCAGTTGTAATTCTGAGTGATCTCCAGCCCTCACCTGGAGATTGGACACATTTTACCTCAGAACAGCAAACTGTTTAGAATGTTAGACGCAAAAGCCAATCAAGTCGCATATGCAAACGACCTCTGTGTTCCAAGGCAAAGGCCAATGAGGCTGCATATGCAAATAACCTCTGTGTTCTGACTGGCTAGGGGGGGGGGGAGAGGAACAGCAAACTGTTTAGAATGTTGGAGGCGAGACTCAAGCAATGCAGCCAGTGGATAGGGACAGATTCTTTGCAAATAACCTCTGTGTTCTGACTGGCTATGGGGGGGAGAGTGTATAGAAATATTGATTTCTAAAAGTCCATGCCTTCTCCTGTGATTACATTCTGATAACATGCTCTGCCTTGTTTCCTCTTGCTAGCCACATGGTAAGGCCAAA